GAACTAGCTGAAGGTTAACTTTTGAGCGAAACATGCCGACCTCGACGACGACGTCACTTGCCTCTTGTCAGAAAGGTGTCCGGCGTGTGTACCCCTGAACCCAACTGGCCAAGGCAGAGGCAAGCGGACATGACAAGCCTTGTACAAATAACAGACGGACGGGCATGTAACCGATGGAGGTGCCTGGAACAGAGGGGAGGGAGTGGGGGTGTGGGATGCAATTCGTTCACGCGCTCTGTGCGTGTCACAGAGACTTGACGTGCGCATTGCCATGCGGGTTTGGGCGCGAGTGCTTTTTTGCGCGTCCAGTTTGGACTGTTGCTTTCGTCACAGTAGGCGTGCACTAAGAACGAGCGATGCAGGATGCAGGTCATGTCTACGTTATTGCTACTAAGACGAAGGCATAGAAAACTCATGAGGAGGAGTGCGTTCAATGAGAAATGTTACTACGGGGAATAATTCTGGTTTCAGGAAAGTGCGAAAAGAGATAGAGGGATCACGGTTCATATGGTACAGGTCGGGCTTTGAGATTGAGAGGGAGGAGGTAAGAGGGAGTAAGGCCGAAACTGGGGCTTCTGCCCCACGATACATCGACAAACACTCCTCCTTAGAATGCGTCTGACGCGCTGACACTTATCATGACATGCTAAGAGCAGTGGCATGGGATGTAACCAACTGGCATGGTGACTCCGTACCTTTCAGGACTAGAGAGTATCAGGCGGCAGTGGCGCTTTCTTACTGTAGACGCTGTGGCGTTCTCCCACCTAGGTGAAGTATGGGTCTGCGCCAGTTGCGGTCATGTGAGTGGCGCGCGTAGAAGGTCACTAGGTCCAGTTCCACGTTGAGACGTTGGAACAGCATGAGCGTGGGAAAACAAACTGGGGGACAGACGGATCGCATATCTGGTTCAGTAAAGGAAACTCCACGCGCAATTAATCGTTGTACTGGACGTTGTCCCTTGTGACCAATGAACAGTTGGGCCGGAACTAGCTCCCTCCCCCCACGGAGTGCGCTTATAGCACGCATTACTGGCGTTATTTATTGCCATACACGCGTGTGGCCCACGTCATTTCAGCCACTGCGTACCAGTCTGCTACCAGCGCAGGGAAGTTTCGGAAGAAAGAGAGGAGGTGGAGGCGACATCTCTCATTTTGACAGCTGGGCACATTCCTCCCGACCGGACAAGATAAATCTGTAGGATGGGAGGTTGTCAACTTTTGGGGTAATTTGATTCTTCTTTGTTAAAACAGTCAAATCAACATGAATTATTTCTGCTGAAATCTTAACGTCTTAGACGAGGGAACCAACCACCCCCTCCCTCCTCTTTAGAGACTGGTCCACATGGGCTCAGATACCCATTATGGCTTGGCTCTGGGCTTATCAACAACAACCTCACATTCCACTCTCTCTCCCCCCATTCGTCTTTACTTTGCCTTGACGTTGAAAGATGACGGGAGGGGATGGGTGGGTGGAAAGAAATTATGAAATAGATTCTGTGTAAAACGTCTTGATTGAAATTAAATCGAGCAACGAATGCTTGTGTGGCCCGACTAAAGGGTAGGCCTGTAAAACAGAAAGAATGGGAATAGGGGAAGGGCTGTTTAAAGGACGGCAAAGGGCGGTGACGCACATCGGCAATGAAAATAAATGTCAATGTCCACGGTAATAGTTAAAAAAGAGCCGGTTTTAACACTGAATCAAACCCTATTACTCGTGTACATATTCCCGCTAACCTATACACCAACCTATTGCTAACGGCGTCCACTGTGTCTCCATTACGATTGCCTCTAGTAGGGTCGCAAAAACAGCGGTTGTCTTCAATCGAAAGTCATGGATGCAACCTCAGGACACCGGTGGGTCTTTTCAGACCGGAAGGACTGTCCTATGCACTGGATCTCCCATACTGACTGCAGTTTTGCACAACAGCTAACACGTGGCTGAAATACAAATCTTTTGAGAAG